GTCTCTCTCTCTCTCTGATTTTCACTCTCTCTCTTTCTGTCTCTCAGGGAAGCACACATGCCCTATAGCAAATTTAGAAGTAATAAAATTAATAAATAAAATTTAATAATTATTTTTTAGAAGTTTAGGAAGAGCTACTACAGCATTTTCCTTGGTGAGGAAAATTTTAGAAGTAATCTTTTTAAATCAAGGCTGTTAACATTTCTCCTTCCATTGTACCTTCTGAGGTCTGAGATGTTCCTGTCCCCAAGTATCAAGGTTGTTCTGCCTCCACTGACACAAAATCACTCTTCTCGTTTCAGTCACTATAGACATCAGCTTTTTTTTTTTTTCCCTAGATTTTTGCCATTGGGCTTGTGTACTCACCAGAGAAATACAGACAGGGAAAGTAAAAAATTATTCCCCATGGGATGGCAGTGCTACAATCCCTTCTCCATTCTCTTTTCAGGATTTTGGGTATATATGTACATGTGCCTGGTGTGAATTTCAAACCTCCAGGTCTGGGACTCAAACTGTGGTTGGTCATATGGGAGTCCGGCACCTTAACCACCATGCCACCTGCTGGCCCCAGGCTTCAGCTTTTTTCCATTTATCCCATAGTTGTAACCAGACTTTTTCTCTGGAAGGGTCAGGTATAGGATGTATAAAGCATTTTTATAAAACTTACAGAGACCCATTACATCCCTCACTTTGGCTCACATCAGCTACATTAGGGAAAGTCAGCAGACAGCACATTCAAATGAGTAGTCACTGGCTTATGATTTAGGTCCAGGTCAGTCTTATACGAGAATCCAGGTGGCTGAACAGAATTAAGTTAGAATCTTCTAGGCACTCTTTAGCCAGGGTGCCTTATGGAAAGTGTATCAGCTAGGCTGGTTGTTGTTAGGGATAAAAAAGAAGCATCATGCTGGGAATTTTGAGGACAGAAGCCCAAATTTTCAGACTAAGTAAAAAAACTGTGTGTTTTTAATTTTGTATTATTTATGTGATTTTTTTAAGTCTTAAATTCAATGGAATTTAGTTTGGTATATAGGAGGAGGTTGGGATCTAATTTTAATTTTGTTTGTGTGGATGACCAGTTGCCACAGTACCTTATTCTCTATAATCTGCAGTATCACCTTTCAAAAATCAGGTGGTCGTGTGTGTGTCTGTGTGTCTGTGTGTCTGTGTGTCTTTCTGTCTGTTGCCATGTGCTCTATTCTGTGTTATGGGCTTTCTTTTCCCCACAGTGTCCTGATTGGTAAAGTTTTATGATATTCATAGCTATCTGATTGGACGAGTTCTCCAACCTGTTTTTCTTTGATATTATCTTTGCTCTTTTAATTCTTGGCACTTGATCAAGTATCTACATTCATTTTAATGTCTTCTTGTCAGGTCACTTACATACACACAATTACTGTTTTTATTGGAATTGCATTGTATTTGGGTCACTATTTTATCTTCATAATATTGAATCTTCAGATCATGCATATACCACATGTTTTTTTTTTTTTATTTAAGGGAGATTTTTTTTGCTATAGGGCATGTGCACTTGCCAAAGAGACAGAGACAGAAAGCAAGAAATCATCCCCTAGGGGGTATGGCCATGCCACAATCCCTTTTCCTCCAGTCTCCTCATGGGATTTTGAACACACACACACATGTGCCCAGCATGAGTTTTAAGCTGCCTGGTCCAGGACTGAAACCGTGGTTAACTACATGGAGGTCTAGCAATTTAACCATTATACCATCGGCTGGCCCCCCTTAACTCTTCTATTTAAACAACATATCTCTTTTCTTATGATACTGAAAAATACCAATGTAGAAGAAAAGAACCTTGACCTCTCTTGTATACCATATATAAAAATTAACTTTAAGATGGAACACATACCCTAACAGAAAAGCTAAAATCATAAAGCTTCTAGAAAACAGAGTATCTATGACTTTTAGGTAGGCGGAAATTTCTTAGGCCATAGAAAGCATAAATCATAAAAGGATAAAAATTTATAAATTATTGGACTTCATCAAAAATTTAAAACTTCTGCTAATCTAAAGACATTATAAAGAAAATAAAATGACAGGACCAGCAAATGGCATAATGGCTACGTCACTGGACTCCCATGTATTTGACTGTGGTTCAAGTCCCGGATCCAATGACTTAAACTCATGCCGGGCGCATGTGCGTTCATGCCCAAGATCCCAAGAGGAAAATGGAGGAGAAGGGATTGCAGCGTGGCCATCCCCCCACCCCGGGGGGGGGGTGATTTCTCACTTTCTGTCTCTCTCTGTCATTCTGGTGAGTGCACGCACCCTAAAGCAAAAAACTTCTCCAAAAAAAAAAAAAGAAAGAAAGAAAAAAAAATTGACAAGCCACAGATTAGGAGAAAGGATGCACATATATAGCAAATGAAAAAAAGCAACCTACTTTGAAAAAAAAAAAGTCTTGAATAGATAACTTCACCAAATGCCATACTGGTAGCCAAAGCACACGAAAAGTGCCCAACATCATTAGTCATCAAGGACATGCAAACCCAAACCAGAGGGCGATATTATTATGTACCCACGAGGATGGCTACAATAGGGGAAAAAGACAGCAGCAAATGTTGGAAAGATGGGAGGGCCTCCAGAATGCTGACGTCTCGTTGCCAGTTCAATAAGGGGTAACTATTTTGGAAAACTTGAGTTTCCTAAAATAGTAAACATATTGCACTTTTATTCTCAAATATTAATCAAACAGAAATGAAAATACATGTTCATGAAAAATCTCATACAAGGATTATTTATTCAGGATAAATTTATTCCTTTTTTTTTTTTGGAGAGGTTTTCACTATAGGGCGCGTGCGCTCGCCAGACAGACAGAGAGAGACAGAGAGACAGAAAGCAAGAAATCACCCCCCAGGGGGGATGGTCACGCCGCAATCCCTTCTCCTCCATTCTCCTCTCGGGATCTTGGGCACGCACACACACGCGCCCGGCGTGAGTTTTAAGCCACCGGGTCCAGGACACGAACCGCGGTCGACTACATGGGAGTCCAGCGACATAGCCATTATGCTAACTGCTGGTTCCCGAGGATAAATTTATTCTTAATAGCCCCAAAATATAAAGAGCCCGTGTCTGTCCAGAGGAGAATGAATAAACAAAGTTATATGACAGTACTTCAAAAGTTTGTAGAAAAAATGAAATTAATGTATGAGTTTATTTTTACTAAAGAATGTAAAATGCCATGCACATTTTTAAAAACACATGTTTCCATGAACTTTTTGAAGACTCCGCATATATTCATGCAGTGGAATACTACTCAACAGAATAAAAATCAAACTGTCATTTGATATTATAGGAAAAAATTGGTAAATTACTGGACTTCATCAAAAATTTAAAACTTCAACTTCTCATCAAAAGACATTATTAAGAAAATAGATTGGCAAGCCACAGCTTAGGAGAAAGGATACACAATGCACATATATGGCAAGGGAAAAAGCAACCTACTTGAAAAATGAAGAGAAAATGTATTCTGTGTTAGCATATCAAATAACACTGATTAATCACATAAACTTTAGGCTGGGTTCAAAAAGCTAGACACAAAAAAATATGTAATATATTATTACATTTATATGAAATTCCAAAATAGATTAAATTAAACTGTGGTAATAGAAATCAAATCAGTGATTACTTTGAGGTGTGAGAATTGGTTGGGCAGGGTCATGAGGGAACTTTATGGATGGTGGAAATTTTCTGAGTCTTGGAAATTTCAAGAAGTATGGGTTACCTGAGTTTCTGTATTTGTGGAGGAAAGGTACGCTTAAGATCTGCAATTTCTCTTTGTGTAAAGTGTAATTAAGTTTTAAAAAATGTGATGTTCTGGGACTCCATTAATAGGAACATACATCTAGAGTTGATAAAAGTAAGCAGGTTAGGGAATACTTATGCCACTTCTTCAGAGTGGTTCTTTAATAGTCATGGACACAAAATATTTTCCTAAATGCTATATTTAGCTTGAGCTTTTTGGGCAGTTTTGCAGTCTGAGGAACTATTTTTGGACCTTGGCAGAATTCAAGAGTAGTTTTTATAATGATGGAAAAGGTCATTCTACAGGTGTCAGCTGGGACTGGATCTGCAAAACTTCACACACCAAGTCTGTCCTTCTGATAACCATACTCCAGACCACTGGTTCTCAGTCAGGGACCACTTTGTCCCACAGGACACATTGGCAATGTCTGGAGCCACATTGATTACCATGACTGGAGGGGAGGGCTGTTGTGCTACTAGCACCTAGTAGATAGTGGCCGCAGAGGTTGCTAAGCATCCTACCATGCACAGGGCAACCCCTCACACCTCAAAGGAAAGAATTATGATGATGATGATGATGATGATGATGATGATGAGAGAGATTTTTTTGCTATAGGGCCTGTGCACTTGCTGGAGAGACAGAAAGCAAGAAATCACCCCCCAGGGGTGATGACCACACCACAATCCCTTCTCCTCCATTTTTCTCTTGGGATCTTAAACATGCTTGCACACACGCCTGACGTGAGTTTTAAGCCACTGGATCTAGGACTCATACTGTAATCAACAATGTGAGAGTTCAGCAACATAACCAGTATGTCATCTGCTGGTCCCCAGCAAAGAATTATTTAGTCCAAAATGTCTTTGGTACCAAGTTTGAGAGACCTTGTTCTAGATCTTCCCTGATCATCAAAGCTGAGTTAGTTAATCAGGTGTTGACTGTACTTACAGTCCAGATCAATTGTGGAAACTTGGCATTTTTATAGATTATATATTTAATATCAAGTATTTATAAACATCTCAAATTTGGAGATTAGAAGGATATACATTAAAAGTACTTCCAAATATATGTATTGCTGCCATGGTTAAATGTTTAAGATGCTGTAGGTTTTGTTTTTAACTTTCTTTCATTAAATACCCCAATAAACGGCCTTAGTTTCTTCCTTTAAAAAAGGCTTTCTTATCAGATTAGAGGCAATAAATGATAATAATTTATGTTTTCTTTTCCCCTCCACAGAATGACAGGAAGGGAGTTTTTCTCTCGTTTCCCAGAACTCTATCCCTTTCTTCTCAAGCAGTTGGAAACTGTAGCCAATACGGTGGACAGGTAAGAAGGGAATAGTGTGGGGCAAAGTGAAACCAAGGATGTGGATTACGTTATTAACCCAGATTTTCCCTCTGGGCAACAGTTTTTTGTCAACTTCTTCCTCGTTACATGGCTGGCTTTTTAAAAAAGTGCTTCTTTATAGTTAAATCATGTTGCCTAGCTCTTTATAGTAAATTTGTACCTGAAATGTTGTCTGAACTATTCTTATATTTCCAAATTCCATTTTGTATTAAAATTTTTCAGTGTAATCCTGTTTTTAGTGTTACTGGAACTAGCTTCTTTGAAGAACATGATAATTTCTTCTGTTAATTATTTTCTTTTTATTTTTAAAAATCTGTTTACATATTGAATTTGCTTAATGCACACCTGCTATTTTTTATTACTGGCCTGTTACATCTTGCCATTGTACAACTATGAGCAAATAGCTGGCATACCTGGTCACCTATGATCAGTAATGGTACTGGTCTACCTGAGCAAACCTGGTCAGTGAGCCCAGCCTTACAAAGCAAGGCCATTCAGAGGGGCCTCTCTTACTGGGGCAGATAGAAAAGTTCACTGTTAGCCTTTTAATCATATTCTGTAGCTACTAGTATTCACATTAGTAGTTTGTTCATTCAGGCTTTTCTGGCCCTGGTAAGTGATTGCCTGTTCATGTTTTCTTAAGTACATTTCAGACTGTGTGAACAGCTCTAATCAAAACAGCAGACTCTAATGAAATAAATGATTAGCTGAGAAGAGGAACATGTGCAAAAGCCCAATGCCCAGCTTCGTTACTGGGTTTTCATATGATGCACATTAGAAGGATGTGAAGTGAATGGGAGGGGGGAAAAGGAAAACTGTCCCCTTGATCATAGAGAGTCTTACTTCATGTATGTGGTTAATGAGCAAAAATGTCTGGGCATAGTGCCTCACTTCTTGGTTTTAAACCTTTTGTATACAATAACTATTTTCAGTGACAGGGGAGAACCAAGTCGTCATCCCAGCATGTTCCTCTTACTTCTGGTGTTGGAGCGGCTCTATCCTTCCCCGATGGATGGCACTTCTTCGGCTCTCAGCATGGCACCGTTTGTTCCCTTCATTATGAGGTAGTGACATGCTTCATGAAGATAGTGGGGTGGGGCTTTACAGAGTATCTTATTCTCATTTTAGAAATTTAATGTACACGCACACACGCACACATGCACACACACACATTTTTTTTTCTTTTGTTAACTTTGGGAGGAGTCTTGTGAAGGCAGAGACTTGAGGCTTTTGCCATTGCCATCAGCTGGTCTCCAGTGTCTCAGCGGAAGGTGCTTTTGTCATGGGTACAGGAGTGCATTAGAACCTGTGTGACTGATGTTTTCCTTGGAGCCTTGCCTGCTAATGGGCATGTGGTTGGTGATAAGAGACACCCCTTTTGAAAAACATAGCCTGAGTGTATTACCCCTGTGTTGAGCCTGGGCACCATGGGGCAGGCTTGGCCCTGGTATGTAAACCCTGTCCAGGGTTTCCAAAGGACAGCAGGACATCTGACTCTTCATTCCAAAGGAGTCTGCTTGGGGAAGGGAAAAAGAGTGAAGAGAGTAGCATGTAGATGACCGAATCTGCATAGAGGACGGCGATCACAGGCCTTTCTGTTTCTAACACTTGTCGTGGCTCCTCTTACCGGTTTTGAGGGGCATCTGCCACCTACTGATGACCTTGTTCATTTTAGATCAAAGGCCTCAATAAATAGGTCTCCAAAAAAGTTTGAAATTTTTTAATGAAACATCTCAGGTGCCTGTCATACTACCTTTTACTATTCTGCTTACTTCTTGACAAAAAAAAGCTTCATTTTTATGTATCTGTCAAAGATTGAAATGGACTTGGAGCAGAAGAATAAGAATACCAAACTCAAGATGGCTTGTTTGTTATTTATTTGGTGTCCTGGGTTCCACTTCCTGGTTTCACAGAGCTGACTTATGCATTTTAATGTGAGAAACCATTAAACACGAGATTCTGGCATGTGATTGCTGTAGCCATTTGTTTGCGCCAAGCTGTGGCTGTGGCTGTGTTATCTTTGATCACAAAGATGACTCATTCAGACTGGTTTTTGTTTCCTGATACACAAAGTTACCAGTCTCCTTCATCTAGCATTTGGTGATTCATTTTGGGAATTTGAGTGGTAAATTTTACTTTCAGGGACCTTAGAAATTGTTCTTTTATGAATAATTGAAAAAAGCTAAAAAATATTTTCAGAAAGCTGATGTAAGGGGGAAAGGCATGTGCACAGAATCACACTGCGCATTTGCAACAAAGCTGTGCTTGAGAACCTTGTCATCTGTGTCAAGAACATTTAACTAGTGGAAGCTTTTTAACTGATCAGTTTGTTGTGTGTTGCATCCTAGAAATTACTGCGTTGGCTAACTCCTTCCGGGCTGTATTTAATTAGTTTACAAATAATCAGAATGCTAATATCACTTACTATATTCCAAAGTACCTATTATATATAACAAAAATCTCATTGAGACACACATTTCTTTTTAGACTAGACAGAATTAAGATCATACTTGGTTAGGCTATGTAAGGATTCTCTAAGAAGAATTTTACCTAGGAACACAGAGCATGAGCAAGATATTATTAGCAGAGAGGTGAATAAGTAGTAGACCAACCTTTGTTGAGCCCATATTTCTTGCCAGACATTGAACTGGACGTTTTACTTTCAGTGAGTGACTAGATGCGTTCACATTGAGGATATTGAGGTTCAGAGAGCAGCCCAGGTATAGAGCTAGAATTTGACCCAAGACGCAGGACCCGTCAAGACTGTTAGATGTACTGTTTTTATTACACTAAAATAACCAGTTCCCTTTTTTGTAGCAAGAACTTTGGCTACACTGAATGGGCCCATGGGACCTGAAATTTATGCAAGTAAGAGAGATGAGTCCTATTTCCACAGCCGATGCATCTGAGTACATGCTGTTTTGGGATGTAGAAGTAATGTGTCCACCAGGGGTGGGATCTGCCTCCCTTTGCATTTCCAGTAGTAAATATAGCTGATTGGGTTGATCAGGCATGTGTGATCAAAGCCACATCTGTGGGACAGTTTCCTGGGATAATGGGGGTATCCATGTATCTGTCCAGTGCCAGATAAGAGGAGGACTGGCTCTTTCTTAACCATCTTCTGAGTGGAGTGAAAGGACCCTAGATTTGGAGTTAGAAAACCCAATGTAGGGTTTTATCTACCTACTATAGGAACAACCTATGCTACCTGAGAATGTTCACTGGGGAAATGAACTACAGATTATTAAAATAGCGAATTTGATGGACACATTTAATTTAAATTATTTCTAAGAAGTTCTTTATGAAGAAAGTGAGAGCTTGATCATAAAACCTGTCTTTCCAGGCAGTATTTGTGGTTCTAGTCACAGTAAAGATTGGGCTACTTTGATTTGGGGCACTAACTGAAGAAAATGGATGTCTGCTTAGTGAATGGGCGGTGTCTTATTTTTGTAGGATGCCTAATGGCAATTTATGTACTTGGATCAGCTTTAGTCAGGCTCATGGGTACTCTGAGTTTAGTTGAAGAAAGAACTTTCAGCTAGTGGGAGTAGTGCAAAGGTTGCTCTGACCCTGCTCACTAGTGAATTGCACAATGAGAAGATTATAAGCCCAATGACAGCTTTTTATTTCTCTTCGATTTATGTATATTACTTACCTGCTATTTCCTTCCTTTCTGTAAGGAATTTATAAGTATTATTTGTATTTGCAGACTATAAGAATATATCCCAGCGTATTTCTCTGCTGATTTTCTTTGTTGACTTAAGTCTTAGAAGATCTGGAGTTCCCAAAGTTACGCATGTGTGCAATTGTGATTGTTGCATAACCTTGGCACAGAAATGATAATGTTGATCCCAACATCTTGTTTACAGTTGGTTTTTAATCCAGAGTATTTTATGTGCCTGATGCTGTACTGAATCTGGATACACAGTCCTTAACCCTGTGAATATTATGCCTTCAATTTAAGACCATTCATCCTTATTTCAAACATCACAAAGCAGAGTGATTCAAGCTTTAAGAGGAACCCTGACTGGCTCTCTGAATACAGGTCAGCAGTGCCTCCTTCTCTGGGGCTTTCTAGAGACTAGAAAGTCTTTCAGAGACCAAAGGTTCTGGACATACATCTTCATACTCTATTTCACAAGCGAGTTTCAAGTTTCAGTTAACAAGCTATAGGAAACCATATGCACTCAAATCTATGAGTGTGGAGTCCTGAAGAGACCAGAGGCCCAGAACTCAAGAGACCTGTTTCTGATGGGACCAGCAGTTAGTGTAATGGCTATGTCGCTGGACTCCCACATAGTCGACCGCGGTTTGAGTCCCGGACCCGGTGGCTTAAACTCACACCGGGCGCGAGTGCGTGCATGCCCAAGATCCCGAGAGGAGAAAGGAGGAGAAGGGATTGCAGCGTGGCCATCCCCCCTGGGGGGTGATTTCTTGCTTCCTGTCTCTCTGTCTCTCTCTGTCTTTCTGATGAGCACACGCACCCTATAGCAAAAACTTCTCCAAAAAAAAAAAAAAGAGAGAGAGAGAGAGACCTGTTTCTGTCTAGGCTCTGCTACTTAGTCACTAGTTGGGACACTGGATAAGGCTCTTTACCTCCTTTGGGCCAGTGTGGTTATCTGTGTCAGGTGATAGGGCAGGTCAGTTGAGACAGAAGTGTCTTCTCTTGCTGCTGAGATCTCAGTCTAATACCTGTGGGAGAAATCCCTTCACTGCCTTTCATTTAGTGGGGGTGGAGGGTACTTTTAAAAGGATTTATCCTTTCTTTTTATTTATTTTTATCTTAAATGACTTTCAGAACATTTTCCCCCACTCCATTGTTGTCATTGTTCTCTATTTTCTTATTTTTACCATAGAGCATTTATGCTTGCCAAAGAGGAAGGGAAGGAGAAAGAGAAGGATGAAGAGTGAGAAGTCACCCCCAGGAGGATGGCCATACCATAGTCCCCTCTCCATCATTCTGTCGGGATCTTGGGCACACATGCACATGTTCCTGGCATGTTTTCCAGGCCACTGAGTCTAGGACTTGAACTGTGCAGTGGGCTTAGATTGTTTTAGACTGGACCATTAAATGTTATCACTTGCAAGTGCTTTGTGCCTTACCTGTTGAGAACTAGCAAGGATTCCGTAAGGATAACTTGTGCCTGAGTCACCTCATTGCTGTGATGGAATTACTAGATTGTTAGATGAGGACAATGCAATCTTTTTCTACATTCGAATTAATTACTTAAATTAAGGTGGGCCAGATTGTGTGTTTATCATTCTTGTGCTTGACATAAATAGAGTGAAGGACTTAAAATTCAGAATCTCAAGTAGGAAGGTAAGAAACACAAATGCAGGTACATGGCCATTACCTCTGCCTGACTGAGAAGAAGGGGTGAAAGTGAGGAGCCACGTATTTAGAGCTTCAGTTTCATGTGTGATGTGGTCTTAAGCTGGGCGCTACTTAGATGACTGGCTATCTTATTATTCTCTGTAATTTTTTTGTATGTCTGATATAGTCCATAATAAATAAGACTCAACATAGCCTCAGAACATTAGATTTGTGGACTGAGACTATGGAGAAAACATTAAATAGAGATATGTATAAAAAAAAAACTGAAGAAAAGCCAAAATTGTGTTCATATCGAATGAGGAAGATATGGTTCAACAGCAGTTTTAATTTAAAAAATTAATAAAAATCAAAATAAAAAAATACGAAAGAAATGGAGTTTCTTGGTGATTCCTGAGAAAGCAGCGTGGTATCATTGTTGCATCCAGATAGAGGAAGCTGTAGCCACCCTGAACCCTGCTGGATGTAGTAAGCCCACATTATTTTGCTTATTCTGCTCTGGGCTCCCCATTTTAGGAGGGTCACTGGTGAACTAATACTTATCCAGGGAAGGTAACTGGGATGAGGAGGAAGCTGAACATCTGCAAACAGTTAGACCAGAGGAGACTTAGTTAGAAGCAACATGGTAATGGTCTTTGCATACTCGAGAGGCTGCCATATGGCAAAAGGCACATAATTTCTCGTTTGCTCTCATTGGGGAAGTAGGAGATAGATTTTGCCTTTCAATATAAA